GGGGGGGAGATTGGAAAACGAAAAGCAACAACAATCACCCCGACAACATCACTACCGTCACCAATAATAATGACGACGACAACAAAAAGACACATAAATAAAAACACACACGCTATCAACTACAGAACAAAGGCTACAGCATGAACATAAAGGGGGGAAAGACAGTGAATCACAACCACCACCAAAACAACAACAACAAGAGCAGCAGCAGTAAAAACAACAGTAACAACAGTAACAACAACAGCAACAGCAACAACAACAACAACAATCGCACAGCAATAGCCCGCCCTTAACTCCCTCTCTACCCACTCACCTTCAAAGAGAAAACACTCATTCCAGTGTGGGTTCAGATTCTTCTTCTTCACTTTGGTCAACAGTTTGTGTTTTTTATCCGGCAGGAGCATAATCTTCACGTAGGGGTCACTAGTCCCGGTCACGTCCTTTGCCGGGAGGTCAGTGGCCTTGATGATCCTCAGGGTCAAGGTCAGGTTCTGGAAGTCGTAGATAAGTCCGAGCTGTAGCCGGCCCAGTTTGTAGTCCACGCCCTCAGCGATCGGTCCCTGGGCTCCCTGCTCCACGACTTCCGGCTCTTCCATGAGCATGCTGGCGATAGACTTGACATTTTTCCACACGCTCGACTCGCTGTCTCCCCGGTCTTCCTCGGACGCGGAGCGGCTCTGGCTGTTGAGGCTGGCACCCTGGGAGAGAGAGGAGACAACAGACTTTGGTTATTTATTACATCTTTAGCTAGAATTCCATTCACGTAAATCTCTACCTTGTGGGAGAGAAGGTTTTTAAAGTTTTAGTAGAGGTTTTACGGCGCTCACAACTGCATAAGGTCAAATGAGCGCCAAGGAGTGGATTTCAACAGAGAAGTACAAACAGGGAATCAGGCTTACTCTGCTCACCTCTCTAGCTTCTATAGCACAAAGTCTGCTTCGACTATCAAGGCACCCCGGAAATAGCAGTTCATAAGAGAGTGACAAACATACTAAAGAAACAAAATGACGAATATAAGGATGAGGAAAGAAAAAGCAGCAGTTCACCGATGCAGTTCAGGTACAGTTTTGAGCATGACATTGATGAATCAGCCCATTTATAATTGTACTTAATATCCCCCCCCCCCCTTTTGGGAATGGCCTAAAGACACTCCAGTCAGTAGCATGGCCTGGGCTGTGGGAAAGAACACAACAGACATTGGTTATTTAGATATCTATTATCAGGAAATATAAATGGATTTGAGATGTGGCGCTACCGTAGAATGGCCAGAATAAGTTGGAAAACAAAAAAGACAAACAAAGAGTGTGTCAGATTCTGCACACAAGACAAACCCTGCTGAGCAAAATAAAATGTAGAAAAATACAATACTATGGCTATTTAAAACGACATGAGACCATTGTGAAAGAGGTGCTTGAAGGAAAGATGTGGGGCAGGAGAGCCAGAGGAAGGCAAAGAACAACATGGATGGACAACACAAGAACATGGACTGACCTGGATATGGCAGATGGACGACACAAGAACATGGACTGACCTGGGTATGGCAGATGGACAACACAAGAACATGGACTGGCCTGGATATGGC